CCGCCCACCTCATCCCATCCCCTCAGCTTTCAGAGTCATCGGGGAACGCGAGTGGGTGAAAGGACTCAGCGCTGCTGCATCTCGCGCCACCGCCTCCTCAAGCGCCTCCTCTGTGCCGCCTCGGATTCAGCACTGGACAGCTCCCGCCCCATTCCCAACAAATAGCGGTCGGCTGATTGACAGAGGAGTCGACCACACAGGGAACAGGACGACTTGAAGCCGCCCTACAAGGGTTTGGTTGCGGCCAAGCTGCCTCTTTCAACCAGCTTTCCTCCCGATAGCAGGGAGAGGCAGGAGTGTGGTTTGTGGGCAAACCTAAAGCCTCAACGAACCAGCTGCCTGGCCCTCTGGACCCCAGAGGACATTCGTCTTAAAAGAAATCTTCGCTCTGTGAGGCTGGCTCCTGCGCTCGCGGTACCGGTCTGTGTGTGCGCGCGCTCCGCGCCTCGGGCGAAGCGAACCGGGAGGAGGAGCCGAGCCTGGAGGCGGGAAGGACCTGCCGCGGGTGAGATGATGGAGCAGCGTTTTCGGTGGCCGCGGCGGCAGCATCAGCAGCACCAGCTCTTGAACACACCTCGATGAGAACGGCGGTGGAAGCGGCCGAGCAGAAAGACGTAAGCAGGCTAACTATAGCTGCCGGGAGCCAGAAGGGAGGTAACCTGTTCGGCTCTAGGCTGCGAGGTGCGTAAATCCCCAGCCGACGCACCGCGGAGCGGCTGCAGCCAGCGTTGCCACAGGTGATTCGATTTCCTGTGACGGTAGCTTAGCCAGTGGGCCAATTTCGAGACAGTCTTATTTTGAAGTCCTTTTCGACTGGGTGCCATCTGGAGAAGGCGGAAGACTCCTAGGCAAAGTCTTACTGTGGATACATTGACGACCAAAATTTAAAAAGTGACTCCTCCCCTTACCTCCTCTCCTGTTTGAGAGAGAGGCAGATGGGAGCCATGGCTTATCCTTTACTTTTCTGCTTCCTGCTCGCTCCTCTGGGACTGGGAGCTGCTGGTGCCAGCCGCGACCCTGCGGGACGGCCGGGTTTCCCTCGAGAGAGGACCGTGAGGGCGAAGCAGCACGCCCAGCAGCCGGCTCGAGCCTCTGCCTCGGACACCTGGGCTCCCGGGAGCCGCTCCACCGACGGCACCATCTTGGCGCAGAAACTCGCCGAGGAGGTGCCCATGGACGTGGCCTCTTACCTCTACACCGGGGACTCCCTCCAGCTGAAGCGAGCCAACTGCTCCGGCCGCTACGAACTGGCGGGCCTGCCGGGGAAGTCGTCAGCTCTAGCCAGCTCCCATCCTTCTTTGCACGGGGCGCTGGACACGCTGACACACGCCACCAACTTCCTCAACATGATGCTGCAAAGCAATAAGTCGCGGGAGCAGAACTTGCAGGACGACCTGGAGTGGTACCAGGCGCTCGTGCGGAGTCTCCTGGAGGGCGAGCCCAGCATCTGCCGGGCGGCCATCACCTTCAGCACCCAGTCGCTGTCCGCGTCCGCGCCCGCGTCCACCCCGCAGGTCTTCCTCCAGGCCACGCGAGAGGAGAGCCGGATTCTGCTCCAGGACCTGTCCTCCTCGGCTCACCACCTGGCCAACGCCACGCTGGAGACCGAGTGGTTCCACGGCCTCCGGCGCAAGTGGCGGACCCATGTACAACGGCGGGGCTCCAATCAGGGTCCCCGGGGCCTGGGCCATAGCTGGCGGCGCAGAGACGGGCTGGGAGGGGACAAGAGCCCTGTCAAGTGGTCTCCGCCTTACCTGGAGTGCGAGAATGGGAGTTACAAGCCCGGATGGCTGGTCACTCTCTCCGCTGCTTTCTACGGGCTGCAGCCTAACTTGGTCCCGGAATTCAGGTAGGGAGGGATAAAAAAATGCCCAAAGCACATCCTTCCTTCTAGTTTCGTGGGTGGGTGCGCGTGTGGGGAAGGGACACTTGGATGTGACACTTACGCCTCCCACCCTCACAGCAGAGCCTGAGGCTGAGCGACACCCCACGGGGGCTCCTGTGCTTGGGGACTAGAAGCGCCTCACGTTGGTCAGTTTCAGACACAGTGAAAGCTTCTCTCAGATCAGTTTCCCTGCAAGGAGCTAGGGACTGGGGAGTGGCGAGAGCAGGGGTAGAGCTGAGAAAAACCTTTGATGTCCCACCCTTTCCTTCAATTCTTGGAAGAGCTGAGAGCAGCTGCGAGTTCCCAATCAGGGGTGATGCTAGGAACCTGGGGGGACCTGGGGAGCTCCCTTGTGCCTGCTAGGCACCCAATGGCCAGCACCGGATGCGAGAGAAAAGGGACCCAGAGGAGAGAGTCCCTAATTTCTGCCACTTCAGAGTAGCTTTGCCTGCTTCCTATGCGTGTCGTTTAGGGCACCGGTCTCTTGTAATTAAAACAGCGCAACCCCCTTGGCAGTTCTGCTCCCTCAGCAGTGAGTCAGACGCTCAGCTGTCTTCAGGATCCAGACTTTGCAGTTTGGTCGCTCCTTCTCCTGATTTCCCTGCTCCCCCAATCCACATCCCCTTCCTTGATCCCCTCTCTCCTGTTCTCTGTTCTCCGTGTCAGGCATACCTGAAAGTTCTCCTGCCCTTCACATTCCCCTGCATGTCATGAAGGAACCTGGTTGCCTTATTTTAGGGAGGGAGGGAGGGAGGGAGGGATTCTTCTGACTGAACTGACTCAGGGACCTAGGAGGGAACTTATTATGTATTTCCTGCCTCAGGGTATTGCATGTGTGGGAAGATGAGAATTTGCAAATTAACAGGTGGTAACTTCTGCCCTGGGAAGAGCCTGATCTTTGAGGTGAGAAACTTCTAGAAGTAGCCCTTAAGAGTTCATGTGAGGAAGCAACAGAGAGAGCAGAAACTCCAAAGAGGGCCACAGATTGACCAGGATCCTCCCCAAATCCCACAATGTAAGGCTCTGGAATGGGTGGTGGTGGTGGTGGTGGTGGTGTGTGTGTCAAGGTTGCTTCTGTATTTTTTTGGGAACCTGGGCAAAAGTGAGAAACATGTGTGTGTGCGTGTGTTCTAATGCTTTGTTTGGCACAGCAAGGGCAGGATACTGACTGGGTGAAATATACCAGGATGAGTACTGGGTTGGCAAATGGGGGAGTCAGAAAGCTTCTTTGTCTTGGTACTGTCATTTACTGCTGAATGACCTTAAGTAAGATACTTAACCTTTCTGGGCCTCAGCTACTTATCTATCAAGTCAGGAAGTTGAACTAGATGGTCTCTAGGAAACTAGCAGTTATAAAATTCTGTAGCTTTTAGTGCTGGCAACACTTGAGAAGGCCTAAATAAAAACAACAACCCCCTTTGATTCTGTATGACCATATTAGGTGTGTGTGTGTGTGTGTGTGTGTGTGTGTGTGTGTGTGTGTGTTTTCTATCTCTTTTAAAGATCTTGTCTTAAACCAGAGTAAATCTTTCCTACTTTCAGGATAATCTCATTTCTTCCTGACTTCTGCAGGATCCTATTTCATAAAAGCTGATCCATGCTTTGAATCTTTGCCATGTTATTTGCTCAGAATAGGAAAGCTAAGCAGATGCCATTCACTGCCCATAAATTGTGACCTTCAGATAAACCTGAAAAGGGGGTCCCATGTCCCAGGATCAGTCAACCAAACTCACTCACTTCCTTCCTTCCTTCCTTCCTTCCTTCCTTCCTTCCTTCCTTCCTTCCTTCCTTCCTTCCTTCCTTCCTTCCTTCCCTTTTTCCTCTCTCCCTCCTTTCTTCAACATTTACTTTATGTCAGGCTCTTTGCTAACTGCTTTACATATATCATCTTAATTAATTCACACAACAACCCTATGAGTTAGGGTTTGTTAGTTTCTCTATTTTACAGAAAGAGAACCTGAAGCACAGGGAGATTAAACTTCTTTTCCAAGAAGTTAAGTAGTAGAGCCAGTGGTTACATCCTTGTAACCACTATGCTAAATGCTGTCTTTTGAAGGTGTCCTAGGTTTGCTACACGTAATATAGTTGCTGCATAAAAATATGTGTATTTTTAAGCATCAGACATGAGACTGGGAATGAGAGCCATTCATTTTCAGAATGATTTCTCTTAAGGCTCAGAAAGCATAGGTTACCTAAATCACCTCAGTGCCTCTGCCAGCCAAGATAAAAGGCAGAGGATCCAAAGGGTCTGAGGCTGTGAGGACTACATGCCCCCTACCTATTTTTTGGACTGCATTCAGGAAACAGTTTCCTCTTGTGGAGCCTCTTTAAGTGCTTTCATAGTCATCAGTGATGTTCTTTAGCCAAGGCATGAAGCCAGGCCATTTAGTGTCTGGCTTTCTACAGAAGCTGGCTTGTCCTGGCAGCATGCATGAAGGGCAGAATAAGTGCTCTCATGTGAATGCTTTTGCCCCATGTCCTCTGCTTCTCAAATGCTGTATTGAGGATACACACAGATGTTAATTATAGGAACTGCATGAAGAAACCTTAAAGAGATCATCAGATGGTTCCTCTGTTGTTTCATAGATTAAGACACAGAACCAGAAAGGTGAAGTGCTGTGTCCAAAACTCATGTAGTAACAAAAGAAGCAGAACGCAGCACCCTGGTTCACACTAAGATTGATATGTATATATCTTAATCATATTTTTTTTGGCTCTCTGGACTTTTGTACACAAAGTATGTTGGGGGACATAGTTTACTCTATCATCTTTTAGGGAAAAAATTAACCCATATAACATAGCTGTTAAGTTTTAGGGAAAATATTACATTATTTCACACATTTGAAATAATATTTAAATGGGCCATTTTTGTTTTTTCATACTCACAAAAAGCAAAGGTATTTTGTTGATAACATCTTATCATCTAAGATGTGTACTCTAATATTCTAAAATACGGATAAATAATATTGTATAGGTCTGCCAACAGTGTAAACCTGAAATGAATTTTCGGGAAGTCATGATTAGGAGCTCTGCTCATGATTTTAAATACATTTGAACCTATAGAGTTATTTGTAAAAAATCTTATCTGTAATGAAAAAAATCCATTAATAGTGGCTTCCTTATGGAAGAGAACAGGAGGAAAAACTTTATAGTTAAAATTTTTATTTAAGATCAGTTAATATTTTCCCAGGTCTTGCTTACAGGATTCAATCATTTAAATTACATTATATTTTATTTTTTGAGAATGTAAATCCAAAACATGAAATTCAAAGGCAATGTTAGAACATGGTCAACTACCTTCTTATATTAATGTTTATCACTGTAAAACACCTCTCAGAGGTTTTATTCCTGTTTCAGAATGACACAAGTATCTTAAATTTTAAAGTTTAATGTGAGATTCACATGGAAAGAAAAATTTATTGTTCATTTCTTTCTTTTCAAAAATGCTATTAGTTGCTCTAACTAAATGCCTCTTGAGTCTTTTGTTACAGTCATATAGTATAAACATTTTAATTCTCATCTTCAATCCTAGCCAAAAAAAACCCAAACAAAAAACAACCCACAACAGAGTAATAATTTAAGTTATATTCTAAATTATTTGTATTTATGACATTAGGTTTCTGATGTCCTGTGTAGAGTTTTCCTTAAAGTTAAGCGTTTTGTTTTGCATTGAATTCTTTCTTTGTGTAACTTAAAATACTATGCAGTTGGTCCCATTCTGCTGAAATCATAGATACTTTTCCTGTGGTAGTTGGAATTGTTCAGTGCCTAGGATGGGTATAAGGTACTTAAGGGTTTGTTGAATTTAAATTAATGTGAAGGAATCTTTGGGAATTATTATTTATTGATGAACTTAAAGGTTCTTTGGAATTAACTTGTGTTATTTTTTTTCATCTCATTTTATTTTTTTAAATATATTTTTATTGATTTCAGAGAGGAAGGGAGAGGAAGAAAGAAACATCAATGATGAGAGAGAATCATTGATTGGCTGCCTCCTGCATGCCCCTCACTGGGGATCGAGCCCACAACCTGGGCATGTGCTTTTGATTGGAATCAAACCCGGGACCCTTCAGTCCGCAGGCTGATGCTCTATCCATTGAACCAAACTGGCTAGGGCTTATCTCATTTTAGAGTGGAAGAAATGGAGACCCAAAGGGCTAAAGCAGGGGTCCTCAAACTTTTTAAACAGGGGGCCAGTTCACTGTCCCTCAGACCGTTGGAGGGCCAGACTATAGTTAAAAAAAAAACACAACTATGAACAAATTCCTATGCACACTGCACATATCTTATTTTGAAGTAAAAAAACAAAACGGGAACAAATACAATATTTGTATTTGCATGTGGCCCACGGGCCATAGTTTGAGGACCCCTGGGCTAAAGGAATTTGCTAGAGTGGCACAGTTCTTTAGTGGTAGTTTGGAAACAATGGAAACCATTATATATTGAGCACCTATTATATGTTTGGTGTTTTATATATACCAGTACATTAAATTCTTAGTACTCTCTGGTAGTTAAACTTCAGAAAAGTTGAGCAACCTGACTGGCATGGCTCAGTGGTTGAGTGTCAACCCATGAACCAGGATGTGGGGCATGCAGGAGGCTCCCAATCAATGATTCTTATCATTGATGTTTCTATCTCTCCCTTTCCCTTCCTCTCTGAAATCAATAAATAAAAATATATATTAAATAAATATATATTAAAAAAAGGTTGAGCAACCTGACCAAGGTAACATAGCTAGTAAATTCGGGAGCCTAAATAAAATTTATATCTACTTAGCTATGAAGCTTGTATTGTCTTTCTACTACCTTATGCTGCTATGTCTTAGCAATTTTGTTTTCACCTACACATAAGCACAGTGCCTGGGGACCTGATATTGATAGGGGAGTAACATGTTGAGGAAGAGGAAGCTAAAATGTCAGACCTGCTGTTTGGTAAAAAGGCAATAGGGCAATGAAGGAATGAT